TGATAAAATTATTTCTTTCTTTTTACTAAAATATTTCATTATACGCACAGAGAACATGTTCTGTGTATGTAACATATATTAAAAATTGTAGAACAATACATCGTCAACAATATGTATATGGAGTAAAGCATCGAAGAGAAATCGTTTCTGTATTATATCATTTCTTTGTATAAAAAATTATTACAAGAGAAATAAAAAGCAAAGACCGTGTTCATCACAACAAGATAAAAGTTTACAAGAATAGAGATATTTAAAGATATCTATTTATTTATAATTTATATGTTTAGAATAATTGCTGTTTAAGTGACATTTCTGCTTTCGTTATTTCATATTGCATAAAAAAGTTTAAGCCACATAGTCGCTTTCGTTATCTAATGCACTTGGTCGACAAAACATCTGTATATATATATATCGTACACATGTCTTGCAAGATTATAGTGACATGTACACATAGATACATATATTTTTTTACAGAGTATTCATCTTGAATTTGAATCATGTATTTATTTAATATTTCTATGCATTATATATACATCTCTTCGTTAAATTTAATAACGATAATAATTCTATATGGCATATGTGATAGCATTGTACATTTTCATAATATTTCGTACATTGGATAGTTAAAAACAAGCGATTCTGCGACAAAATTAACGTGATTTGTACTATACTAAATGTAAATTTATATAAACTTCTGCCACAAGAAATCGGTATATTTCACAAGTGTTCATTAAATAATAGACGATAATTCGCAGATTTCAATGTTCGATGCCGAATACTTTATTACGAGACTAAAAAGTTAAATGTTAGGAATAAAAATAAATGACAGTTATTTTCCCTCATTTTATTGCTCGAATAGGAATGTGGCATACTTTCTATATATATGTGTGTATATATATAATAATATAAGTACTTTAATATTATCGCTCGATTTGACGAGATTAAAAATAAGATTTTTGCATAATTTTTTAATACGAATCATAAAATTCGTTATTGAACTAGTCTCTTGTTGATAAGAATACATTGATGTTTTCATGAGCATGATACATTTATGTTTATGAAAAATAAAACAAATGTATTTTTGAAGACAGTCTTATCAACTAGAGTGCAAACGAATTAATCACTTATTTAATGCAACATCTTTTTTCTTGTTATCAATACATAATTAAAATTTTGTCTTTGTAACTCTTTAGAATATATATGCAAGAACCAACAGCTTGCGCAAGAAACGTCATTCAAAAAACAATACTTATAAAGATACTCATATTGAATCAATTACAAATGTACATTATATCGTAAAACATTCGAACAATTTTTCATCGTATTCATATATTATTGCTGAATAAAATGTTGGATTCATTGATTATGCTCCCTTGTAGCTTTTACAATCTTCGCGTTTCCTTTATATAATTATGTTATAATAAGATATAAATATGTAGAGAGAGATAAATCAATGACAGCATTATATGTAATTTTTTTCTTTCAGTTATTAATTTTTTTTCCTAAATTCCAACATTTTCTTCAAAACTTTACAGTCTGAACACAATTCTATATCCATGATTGGCTATTAATGTTTTGAAATTGTCCAATGATGTTTCACAGAGACATTCAAGTTTGTCTCGGAAAAAGCGCGTTCATATTTTATATATTGTTCAATTTAAAAATCGTAATAAGAATTTTTACACAAAGAATATATCGAACGCTTATATATTTTTGAAAACTATTACGATGTTTAAGATTCCTTAGACACGCCGCGCTCAGATACCCTCGAAGGTCGTTCGCCCTTGACGCGGACGCGGTGCGTCTTCATATTTACGCGGTATCGCGCGCCGCGACGCTCAGTCCGCCGCCGTCCGCCGCGCAGTGCAGATCGTTCGCCGCCGTATCGCGCTCCGAGCGTGCGCCATCGACGAGTGCGTGGCACCCGCCATCCATCCGGTCGCGTGCGCCGTGGTTCTTGGTGTCGTTCGTTTTCTCTTGTGCTCGCTCCTTCGTACTTTCGTCCTCTCGTCGCGTTTTTCGCGTCGCCCGCGAGCATCTCGGCGGCGAGTCTCTCGGTGCTGATTGTCAATCGTCGTGACGGACGAATAGCGTTTGGCGAAGCGATTTCGATCGTGCGGTTTTTCTAGGAAAAGTACGCATTCGGGAGACGCCATAGCAGCGTGAGCTTGACGTTTTCAAGGTACGTATTTTGGCGAACACGCCAGCAGATCGCGTTTATGTAAAGAGAAAGAGAGTGAGAGGGAGAGACGGATGAGAAAGAAAGAGATAGAGAGAGAGAGAGAGGATCAACGCCTGCACACGCGCGATCGATCGTAGCGCGCGAGCACTCGTGCAAGTTCAAATTCAACATTACGTTCGCAAAAAAATTGATCTGAAATTGAAGCCGGTTACTGTAGTAATGTGTGTTCGTAATCGAGGGGAGAACGAGAAGAAAGAAAGAGACAACGAAATGCGCGACTGAAATAAACATATCTAGAAGTCAAACGCAGATATGATTATAAGTTCTATAGATAGCTTCGATCTCTGTATCGATGATATAACTGTATTTTAAAATTCGCATAGACGCGCGCTTTCTACGAATTCGCGATCAAAATACGAACGAAATAGACGAACGAGAAAACACGATAAAAATTGAAGCACGTGTCGTTCATTTTTTGAAAAATTAATACAAGCCAGTAATGGAACGCGAGACGTCGCTAATCTAACCTATATCGGACAATCTACCTGCTAATCGATAAAGCGCCGGCAACCGAGACATTTTCTGCCGCATTACGATGTATATATTATGCGTATACGCAATGTTACGGTTCGCGAGGGAACCGTCAAAGTTTTGCATTTTCGAATTTTCACGGAGCCGCCAGCGAGAGCTTCGCAAAATTTGCATCCAGATTGACAATTACGTCACTCGAAGACCGAAATAAACAATAGTCGGTTTCGGTAAACGCGAATGTTTAGCTTAAATATTTCATGAGTGAAAAAATGCCGCATATACATGATAAATTCGAGTATATTATATATATTATATTTAATTTTTAAAGTTTATTAGATTTTCTGTCGATATAAATGTTTGAATTTTAAAGTACGAAACACATATACACACACATATATATTTTATTTAACTTTACAATAAAAAAAAAAAAAATATATCAATAGAAAATTTAGCAAGTTGAAAAATGAATAAAGAATTTAAAGATAAAAGAATTTATATTCGTACTCTCCATAATTGTTATGTTTACATCGCATTCCATAACAGTTACATTCATGGCTTTTTGTCATGTCGTCGTATAAGTTTATTTACAAACGCGAACGATGTCAACTTTGATTTTATTGTTAATGCGAAACGATCCTTGATTTCACAAGGTCGGCCGCGAAGGTAAAGTCGAAACTTCTGTCATAACCGAATTGGCCGTCGAACGAACAAGAGTTCCACGATCAAGTGACAGGTGCTTTCTTATTAAGCGTGTATATTTCCTTTTGTGAATTAAAAAATAATGATGCTCGTGGTTCATACGACGTTCCAAATTGCTTTCAATCTCCAATTAAGTGGAAATTTAAATATTTGTAATTTATTACATTTTTATATATCCTTTTATATATATTATATATATTTTATATATTATATATAATATTAATTTTATATATTATTATTTTATATTATATATATTTTATATTT